TTATTTATTATTATAAAAGTAACTAAAATGTAAAAATTATATTAAGTTAGATAAGGTATGATAATGAAAATAATAACAATAAGATGAATTCTTCATGAGGTATACTCGCGAGTAATTCGTGTTTTACAACTTGTGTGGCGGAATTATTAGTTAGAAGCGGTTCAAAAGAAATAAAATTAAGTAAAAAACAGTTGCATACTGTTACAGAGACGTAATATGGAAACTCTGGTGGTTACGAACTCAGTCACATCGACCAAGCCCGTAGCAAGAAGGATTATTTCCTCTTTCCGTGTCTCACTCTGACCTCGTTTAAACGACATTTAAAGAACAAAATATATAGTTTCTATCCCCAGTCCATTGACGCCGTAAGTGCTTCTTTCCTCGTCTATTGAACCTTACAGTCCACTGAAAGGTAGCAGGATGGTATCCCGCCCATCTTCAAACACTAATAATAAACATGTATACTTTTTGTATGATTGAGACAACTGTAGGTGTTTTTTTATATATATTTATAATATTATAAAATGCATATAGAAAAGAATCTCACTTCCCCCTATTTGATTTTCATCAATTATGCAAAAGTCATCAGGATGTATTAAATCACTCATTTAATAGTCAGGGATTTACTGTCTCCCTGTGGGTCGGCGGTAAGTTACAACAATAAAATGAGGGGTTCGATTCCCCGCTGGTGGACACAGCATAAACCCCAGTGACGCTTTGCCCTGGTGGGTCAGTGATAAATGTACGTACTTACAAAATTAAAATCCGGGGCTCGATTCCACGCAGTGGACACAGCAGAAAGCCCAATGAGGTTTGCCCTAAAAAAAACAGGGATTGTCTTGGGCTGTTAACTTTTTAATTGGAAGCATGAACTTAAATTATGATCAAAGTTTATTTTGTTATTATTACTATAGAGAATAACACACAAATTTCTAAAACAAATGAGGCAAAACTAAATGACATTGAAAGTATGGACTTTATTGTCGTTATATTACCAGATAATTATCATTATCATATTACTCCGATGAGCGGTGCTTACAAGATATGAAAATATTTTTGCTTTTTTCTAAATTAAAGTTTACATCGCGTGGTCTTTATTTTCACCTATTGAGGAAACATGTGCTGGAACACATATACAGGGTGATATATCGTTCTTACCGGTATTGGAAAGGGGGTGGCGTTGGGAACGTATGGAGGAATGTACTTTTTACTGGACTGTTATTGGAAGGGGTGGTGACGTATGGAGGAATGTACTTTTTACTGGACTGTTATTGGAAGGGGTGGGAACGTATGGAGGAATGTATTTTTTACTGGACCATTATTGGAAGGGGTAGGGAAGTATGGAGGAATGTACTTTTTACTGGACCGTTATTGGAAGGGATGGGGACGTATGGAGGAATGCACTTTTTATTGGACTGTTATTGGAAAGAGTAGGGACGTATGGAGGAATGTACTTTTACTGGACTGTTATTGGAAGGGGTGGGGACGTATGGAGGAATGTATTTTTTACTGGACTGTTATTGGAAGGGGTGATGACGTATGGAGGAATGTATTTTTTACTGGACTGTTATTGGAAGGGGTGGGGACGTATGGAGGAATGTACTTTTTACTGGACCATTATTGGAAGGGGTAGGGACGTATGGAGGAATGTATTTTTTACTGGACCATTATTGGAAGGGGTAGGGAAGTATGGAGGAATGTACTTTTTACAGGACTGTTATTGGAAGAGGTGGGGACGTATGGAGGAATGTATTTTTTACTGGACCATTATTGGAAGGGGTAGGGACGTATGGAGGAATGCATTTTTTACTGGACCATTATGGGAAGGGGTGGGGACGTATGGATGAATATACCTGTTTACAAGGAAGTGTTATGATCAATTTTTCCAATATTAATTCGACAGTTTTAAATCTTGACTTTAAACACCACAACTCCTGATATTTTGTCGAATTTCAACACGTTATACTCGCAGAATAACATTATTTGGAAAACCAGACGTGTATCCGTCTATTGTGAAATACGTAAAAACAGTTATACGAACAACTGTTGTGGATGCATGGTAATTTCTATGAGTATGCATTGTTAAAATTTAAAAAAAAAACATTTTTTTTCCACTGCAAAATTTTTAAATCATAATTTTCATGTAATGCTGTAGCCAATTTCCAGAGTATTGTTTATGTCGTTTTATTCCGATAACAAATGTTACATTTTATATATTTTAAAGACAAATGCACGTACAATAAGTATGTTTGAATATGTTTTTATTTAAGTTTGGAATACGTTTGCTATGTAATTGTCTAAAATTTTGTTTCCAAATTAAATGTTTTGTTGAAGTTCTGAGAAATCAGTTAACAAAAATATGAATGACTAATTCAAACAGAGGTGGTGCTGACAAGTAAACAAACCGGGATAAGTTGTTGTTGACAAGTAAACAAACTGGGATGACTAGTTAAAATCTTTGCAGTGTGATTGGGTAGGAATGCGAATCGAGTGAAATATCACAACTACCTATTTTTTCGAATTTTGACACGTTCTACTAGTACATATAACAATCTCACTTGTCATGATATGTACCTAGACTTTAACGTAGAAAACTTTAAAATGGGGTGTTGCTTCTAAATAAAAAAAATTCCTCTGATGTAGTGCTAAACTCCCTACATGATATGTAATATAATAATTATACATTTATTAAAGTAGTTCTTGCGTGTACCGTCAATATAAACGTCTAGGAAAATTGAACACTATTAAAGAATTGTTTAGTTAGCTACTTATTTCGTTATTTTCATATAGGTATATTATGTAATTAATTAATTAATGCAATTTTTACCATGAATACAGTTCTCAACTTAACTTAGTCAATTGGGAGACGTTTTATGAAGATAATACATTGATATATTTATACCTTTCTCTTATGAAAAAAACAACAATAAGTTCAGCAGAAATATTACAATAACGTGTAATGTACCACTGTGTTGGAACAACAACAATAAGTTCAGCAGAAATATTACAATAAAGTGTAATGTACCACTGTGTTGGAACAACAACAATAAGTGTAGTAGAAACGTTACAATAACGTGTAATGTACCACTGTGTTGGAACAACAACAATAAGTGTAGTAGAAACGTTACAATAACGTGTAATGTACCACTGTGTTGGAACAACAACAATAAGTTCAGCAGAAATATTACAATAACGTGTAATGTACCACTGTGTTGGAACAACAACAATAAGTTCAGCAGAAATATTACAATCAAGTGTAATGTACCACTGTGTTGGAACAACAACAATAAGTTCAGCAGAAATATTACAATAACGTGTAATGTACCACTGTGTTGGAACAACAAGTGTAGTAGAAACGTTACAATAACGTGTAATGTACCACTGTATTGGAACAACAACAATAAGTGTAGTAGATATATTACAACAACGTGTAATGTACCACTGTGTAAGAACAACAACAATAAGTGTAGTAGATATATTACAACAACGTGTAATGTACCACTGTGTTGGAACAACAACAATAAAGTGTAATGTACCACAGTGTTGGAACAACAACAATAAACATAGCAGAAACGTTACTGTAATGTGGAATGTGTCCGTGTGTTATAAAAACAACAATAAACGTGGTACAAACGTTACTGTAATGTGGAATGTGTCCGTGTGTTAGAAAAACAACAATAAACGTGGTACAAACGTTACTGTAATGTGGAATGTGTCCGTGTGTTAGAAAAACAACAATAAACGTGGTACA